GCCCGATGGGCTAATAGCTGGAAATCATTAGAATGGGAGGTATTAGAAAGAATTTAAATATATCGCATGTATAAATAAAATAATTGAAGTAATAACTCTAGCCCCGCGCAGCTTTACTTTCTAAACACATCTGGATATTTTAAAAGTATAGCCGGGCGGCTAGACTCTTTAAATATTAATATATTTGAATATTTTAAGGGTATGGCCGACCGGCTATACTCTTTGAATACATTTGAAACAAACACGAAAGCTTGCACTGGCATAGGACGGAGCTTGCAGACGCAGTCAAGTTTCGGCTGCTTCGTCCTCCTTGTTCGGCACCGGAAAATGACCCAACCCACCTAGGAGGCCCGCCCAGCCACCTAGCGCCTGCCTAGCCGCCTAGCGCCCGCCTAGCCGCCTAGCCCCCGCCTAGCCGCCTAGCGCCCGCCTAGCCGCCTAGCCGTCCGCCTAGCCCCATTTTTTGAACACTGCGATTGACTGAAAGTCTGCAACCCGAAATTGAAAAAGTTTACCTGCAAATTTGAGCTTGAGATTGAGATTTGGAAGCCGAAGCAAGCACAAGTCATGGGAACCCTAAATACAAAATTTGCTGACTTGGTGTCTGTCTTCGGTGGAAGGAAATGATGAAGCTATCCTAACATGGAGTTTCTATGGTCTTGCCAATAACAAGGTTCGGTTTTTAGGCCCCAATCTCAAATTCTGACTATTTATTTCTGGTTTGGTTCTTCTTGCTTGAAACTTGATAAATCTTTATGCATTCAATATTCATCCATTGATGGTTCTTCTTGGTTGGACTGCTTTTCATTCTTTGGATATTGCATTTCTGTTATAGATTTTGACATTTGATCATGCCCTCTTGTTTGCTGATAGAAAAAAAAGAAAAAAAAAAAGAAAGATTTGTCTCCTCCTCCTCCTCTTGCATAGGAACACAAAACCAACCCACGAAACAACAGAAAAAATAAATAAATAAATAAATAAAATTACACCACCTTAGTCCTGACACAAATGACATGTGGAAACTGTCAAGCTAACTGTAGGGAAACCCGAGAGGCAACAGCAAACATTTTCTATAGAACTGAACCCACCTATCTTAGAAGATGGAGGGGCAGAAGAGTAGAAAATCAAATAGCTTACCATATATTTGTTGCTGGTTCTTCCTCACATATAATAGCAGGGTTAGGCCCAGGATCAGCAGTCCAGTAGACAACACAGTACTGGTTACTATGTTATGACCAAAAGTTGGTCGTGAGGGGAAAAGAATGCCAAAATCATTTACACTTCCTAAGTGAGCATCAATCTACGTAAGAAAAATGATGGGTCACATACTCAAAAGTTGCAGTTTCCTTGAGAATTTGTGTTCTTTTTCATAACTTACTTCTAATTGTTGTTGCCTCCATTATAAGAATATAATTGCACAATGCGCTTTGCATATGGAACCCCAGTTCATTGAAGAACACAACGGCAGTGAATATGAACTACAAGAACTGAAAATCAGCAACTCCATACCATTTTAAGTATGAGAACATTCTCACCAAATATAGAACCATCAGGACTCTGTCGGATACGATTAACAGATACTTATGAATCTTTGACCAGAGCTTCCTGAAATAATTGACATTGGTTCAAATTTCGGATCATATCAGTAAGGTTGAGAAAGTAGTACGTAATCCAGAAGCAGATGCACCTTTAAGGCCATTGGGCCTGCATCAAGATTCCAGACTCTAAAATTTCTTGAAAGCAACTTTTTCCCTGAACTAACATCCCATAGTCCTATGTCTCCAACACCCCCAGGTTCCGACTGAAGAATCACATTAGCAGGATTCACGAGTGAACTATAAAAACTAGTTACTGCACACGATCATTCTAAAAAGACAGGAAATTTATAAACGATGGGAGAAAAAAAGAAGAAAAAAAAAAACGTAGTTTCTCATTACTTCACATAGAAGAAGAGTCCGCCAAGTGGGATGAAAATCCATGCTCATTGGACATGAGCCCTCATTTAGTGTCAGGGCAAAAGTTGTGGGCAAAACATTGGGTATGGCAACCGCGGACAGGTGACTTTGGCCAAGATCAGTGACAGTTGATTTTACCTAAACAAATGAAAGAAAACCAGGGTCAAGATACAGAAGTTCTATAATTATATAATTCTGTACATAAAATTGATTCAGATTACCTCATCCAAAATCAGAGAGAACATTTTTTTGGAATGGATAGTCAATAACCTCTATAGCTGTAGCCACAAAAATTTAATCGAAGGTTAATAATAACAACTATGCAATGTGTAAAATGACGACACATTTCAAACATAAATTAGAGGGTACCAGTACCCAACAACATCACTTGAAGATCTAAAATAAAATACCTGGGCTCTTTGCAGCATTGAGAGATACTGCTCCCGGAGAGTGCATCTTGTGTTACAGATAAATTTTTGGCTCAGCAGAAGAAGTTGGAAATGGATTTGATGTTGCTTGTGAAGGCTAAATACAGAAGGTTAGAGCAATCTTAGAAGAAACCGGAAAGACTAAACAAAATCTAGTTTAAAAATAGAAAAAGAAAATCAGCTAGTATGGATGATGAGCAGGAAACCTTGGTTAATGAGGACCAATACGAAAAGAATTTCAGTTTACCAGAGCATATCTTACTTGCAAACTGTTCCCAGTCGATAGAGACAAAGACAAACAGCCATTCACAAACACGATCAATGAAAAGGGTTTTAATAACGGATTTGGACAATGCAGGCTGCATCCCTCAAAGAAAAGATTAACCCAATGTTTGGTGGCGAGCATGGCCCATAAAGAGTGGCAGTACTCCGTTTCTGAAAAATACTTTTGGCATACATAATTCTTTTGATATTTGCAGTTGTGGTAGTTTTGAAGACCTTTACAACAGCTGAAACTATGTTGAATGTTCAAGAGTGTAGAGTATAGCGGCTGTACTCTGGAATCGTTAGATTAGCATGTTGACTAGCTGTCGGTTATTGTTTTCACTTACAACTGTTACAAATTGTCTTACTTTTATGCCTTTTGGTTTCTGTTTATACAGATGGCTGGAACTTTTGGTTTTGGCCATGACTGGCTGGGTGAAGGAGCTTTTGAGGAATTATTGTAACAAGAATATCAGAAATTGAGGTCTCTTGTGGCTTTTGGAAGATTATTATCTCTGCGTATTATGAGATTCAATAGATTGTTCTTTAAAGAAATATCCATTATTGAATAAATTCTCTGTAGATATGCCATCATTATGCAAAATCTGATTGAGACATTATATCTCCACACATAGAGAGTGCCGTATGATCCCTGTTGGATTGAACCCATACACATTTGATGCATTTCTTTGAACAGCTCCTCATTACCTTCGGCAAAAACTTTGAGATCCTTCATGAGGATATCTAATGCCTTGGAGCGACAATTGCTGTCAAGAATGGACAAAAACATGCAGAACATGGTGTTTTTTAAGATTGTTTATGTATAGATTATAAGAAGCTTCAAAAAAATGTTCTGAGTTGTCAATGGCCTCAAGGAAATTTGCTTTCTGATCTGGAAATAGATCTTTGTTGGACTACTCACGGCAACGTGCCACGCCTGAAACCTTGGAAATTGGCAGAGGTGGGGTTGGCCCATTCGTAACTAGTGTCTTGTGGGGGGAAGGGATTGGGTGAATATAGTGCTTTCTAATTAATGTTGTCTATGCCACAATTTCAGGCTTGATGCAGTTGCAAAGCATATGGAATGGTAGCAGTCAGCACTAATCTTACAGTATGGCAATTTCCTTTGTTCTTTTGCCTTTAGTTGATTAAACATTCAGATTATCACTAAATTTAACTAACAATTTTTCATTATCCGTTGGTGATTATGAATTTATGTACTTTTTTCTTTTTGATTTCGAGGGTGATGCTATTTATTGAGTTCATCATGACGAAAGTCCTAAAGATATCCTTGTTATTTCTATTTCATATTGAGTTGATGGTGATGCTATTTGATGTTTAACTCAAGTATAAATATGCATTTCATGAACCCTCATAGGGTTCCTCCTGCTTGTAGATTGCCACTAATAATGGATACCCTCCGATTTCTTATATTTATTTGCAGATCAGATCATGTATTGTTTATCTTTAATTTTTGTTAGAGATTCAATCCCACTAGAGCCCAAACTTATAACTAGTGATCCCGATCAATCGTCCCGACCCTTTTCTTCTTTGTCAAAGAGAGATTTGTGAGTTTTGGCTCAAGTGACAAGGTTGAAATGTGATCAAGATCATCTGGACTCGATCTCTACCCATCATAATTGTGTAATAATCCTGTCAATATATTCATACAAAAAAGTGGCTCTTGGTGAGAGATGGCAAAGCGAAATAAAAGTTGCACTCCATCCTCAACAGAGTTTGGGGTATGGATCTTAGATTTTAAGTGCACACCATTCTTGACAGAGTTGATATGTTAGGATATTGAGCTTAGATTTTAAGTTTTAATTCTCAAGTTTTTGGCCATGTTCCAAAACCATATAGTGAACTTAAAACTTAGGTGAGAAACGGGTGTACATCGAAATTTACACTAGTCGCAATTGGCCAACGACACTGATTGGCAATGGCAGCTAGGCACATCCGTTCCATAAGAAAGAATGAATCTGGCGCAGGGAAAAATTTTAATTTTAATTTTAAAATAAATAACCAAATAAGGGTATAGCCGAACGGCTATATTGTTTAAATATATTATTTAAGGACTTTTTGAATATATTATTTAAGTAGTATAGCCGAATGGCTATACTATTTATTTATATAAAAAAGGACCCGCCTAGCCCGCCTGGGCGGCCCATTTTTGGAAAACTTGAATGGCGTAGTTTTTTCTTTCAGATTTCCTTCTTCCTGGCGGGTCTGGCATCTCTGCATATACATCAATCTGGGGTTTTAGCGAAAGAGTGAGAATGGGAGCTGGTACAAAGGAGTTTTGGCATTATCCATACCTTTGTTTCCTCGATTGAATTTCTTAGTTCCCGCAAGCTTATTGTCCCTTCTGTTGATTTTTCAGGTGATAGGTTCCATTCACTGCACCAGAAGTAAGGTTATGCATCCCAGATGCGACTTCCTTTTGCATTTTCAGATTCACTAGTTTCCCCCTACTCTCCTCTAGTTCAGTCATGCTGTCATCCAGCTCACCTGTCACCCATAACAGAAAATTTACATATTCAACACAAAATCAAAAGGTGGCATCACCAAACAGTGGTAAACTTTCAGACTTACCTCTCTGTCAGAAATTGAGCAAAGTTCCTAAATCTATAGGTCTTAAATATGATGCTGAATCTTTACATGTACTGCCACGAGCCTTAGCTCAAGTGACATGGGTTGGATGGGCTGAACTGTAGATCCTAGGTTCAAATTTTCTTCTAATACGAAAAAATGAAAAACAAAAACAAAAACTACATAAGTGCCGTCAGTAATCAAGTGTAGGATTAAACATTCCTACTAAATATGCAATAAAAAACCAAGGCTTGTGACTATAACCATCTCAGAAACCTGTAATGCGGCTAATTTCAGACTGATCTGTTGACTGGCTGCTAAGGTAAGTCCGAATTACATCAGCATACTCTTTCTGCTTCACGTGAAGAATATCAATCGCTTCCCGCAGATTTTTAACCTCCCTCTCCATCATATCATCAATCTTAGGTAACTGGATGATAGCATCTGAGAATCACAAGAAAAACAAAGAACTTATAATCAGTACATAATTCCTCATGCACTTACTCCTTCAAAAATAAGTGTTAAAAAATGAAAAAGTTATTGTATGAAATTAGTTTGTACAACAATGAATTTACAATTGAACCTCTGACCTTCAGAAGATATCTTTCCATCCAAAGTGTGGACCATGCTCTCTGTTTTTTCCCTATGAGAATAAATGGTATGTTCCAAGAGTTTTAACAACTCCCTAGTAGACGTATGACGCAAAGTGAGAGCTTCTTCAACATATTTAGCAATTTCATCATTGCCATTAGCTTCTATAGAATCTCTTTGTAGGAGACACAAAGAAACATCTCCCCCGCAGAACATGATGGAATTGAACCTGAAAAACACACTGGTCAAACTAATCCATATGATGTGAAGAATAAAATAAAATGAACACTAAGATTTTGATTTAGTCATCAGAAAAAATTAGGAAAAAAAAAGATGAAGTAGCATAAAACAACACATGTGCTGTAAAATACCACGAGAATAATCAGTGCCATCTAAAATTTGTAAAGCATTTTGGCTTCCTCCAGCACATAGTCCAAGAAGAATAAATCATCAACCAACTGGTCAGCAAAATAAAGAAATCACCATCAGAAAAAATTACATGTCATCCTGGTGGACACAATTGAGACCATGAAAAGGAAGAAAACCCAACCAAACATTCAAGATAACCTGATTCCATATTTGATTCACTGTGATTAGCATTTCATCATAAGAACCTTGCTTATCCTTTAGTTCCTTAATTTTGGCTTCAAGATCCTGCAAATCATGCTTCTGTTTGTCTAGCTATTTGCTGAAGAAGTCTCTGGTTCTGGTACTGGAGAACTGCTGCATCGACCTGGGCACATATAGTACGTACACAAAATACCGATACATTTCAATCTACTTCCTATCTCAAATCAAAATTGAAGTGTACTTGAAATGCATTGAACTATCAATGTGCACTCATCTAAATGCATGCTTTTTTATGAAAAAGCATACTAACTTCAGAAGTGACTTCATCAGCTTAGAGATTAATGATGCTTTACTGCCCCAATTACACAATTAATAAACAGAAACCCTCTAACCTACACCCTATACTCCAAAAATTCCAATTCTGTAACTTATATCCCTTTTCTTACACTTCCTCGACAACCAAACAGAGCATAGTACATTTTTCAAATTCTCAAAAGCACATCCAAAGCAGAAATTGCCCAAACTCCAATCACCCATCAATCACAGTAATTTAAAAAAAAATAAAACACCTTTTTTTTCTTAAACCAAAAAATTTGATCAAAAGCATTTTTCCATCAGTAACCAAGCAGACTGTAAATATATATATATATATATAGAGAGAGAGAGAGAGAGAGAGAGAGAGAGGGATTACGCTATGGTTATTGGGTGGAGAAGTGGTGGAGCTACGAGCCATGGTGGGCGAAAGTGAGTATAAATGAGGCCTCTTCTTCTCTTGCTCGTCAGAGTCTGAGTTTTCCATTTATCGTTGTTATGGTGCTCTTTACGGAACCCACCGCACCATTACACCTCTCAGGTTCCGAGCTCTTTCTGTCAAAAAAAAACCCTACAAACTGATACGCCGCAGCACGACTATACAATTTTATTTAAAACAGCACCCAGTATAGCCGACGGCTATATTATCTATTTAAAAATAAGACCACCGCCTGGCGACTTGCGCCTATTCCACGTGTCGAAAAGGTATAGCCGTGCGGCGATACTGTTTTTTACTATGCTATACATTATTTAAAGAGTATAGCCGCCCGGCTATTCTTTTTTTTTTTTTTTTTTTTTTTTTTTTGTATTGAAAGGTCCTGCCTAGGCGGCCGATTTTTGGAAAACTTGAATGACGTTTTTTTAATTTAGATTTCTTGTTTCCTGGCGGGTCTCACTCTCTATTTTCTGTACACAAATCTATTGAGGGTTTGGACAGGATGGGAATGGATTTAATAGAAACTGGAAATCCAGATGCATTCAAACAGTATCTGTCGGAGTTTGACAACACCATTCATTTGTAGAGGATCAGTAACTTGGGGATTATTTTCTGTCTTGTGAGTTTTGTTACCATAATTGGAACGATTTTCTTTTTAGTTTCTCTTCCTGTTGGTTTGAATGGTCTAATTGTGAATTTGCTACAATGTTATAAATGCGGGGTTGAAACTTGGCTGGGTGAAGGAGCTTTTGAGGAATTATTGTAACAAGAATTTCAAAAATTGAGGTATCTTGTGGCTTTTGGAAGATTATGATCTCTGCATATTATGAGATTCAATAGATTGTTCTTTAAAGAAATATCCATTATGCAAAATCTGACTGAGAGGCTTAGGCCCCTTGTGGGTTTGAAGACCAACAATTGATTGATTATATCACAACAGAACGCAACATTTCAATGTTATTGAATGCTGATCAACCAGGATGGCGGAGTGTGAAGCCAGTCTTGGGCTGCTCCTCGCAAGGTCATCGCAAACACCTTGCCCATCAGTGCGTCGTCGACCTTTGTGGAGGATCATGACATTTTTGAAATGTTTTAGGTGGCTCTCGGGATCTTAATCCCCTTTGAAGTGTGTAAACGAAGGCGTTGAGAATCTCTTCGGGGAAGCAGCCTGCTTGATTTCGAGGGTGAAAGGCATAGAGTTCGCCTGGTCCATCTCCTTACGTAGTGCGTCTTTGAAATTCCTGCCGGTCTTCAAGTCTCAAAGTCGGTCATTCACAAGCTTCTCAACGTCTTCCGCACACATTGCTGGTCGATCACGTTGGCGATCTTCGCAATTTGGGCGATGCTGATTGACTTCCTCGTTGATTTGCGAGTGTCGACCTTCTCGCCTGCACTGCTTAGGCGGCGTGTTGGTGGACTGTGCTTGCGAAGGATTTTTTGTAGCTTGTCGACGAGAATCAACTCTTCAAGAGTGAGCAGCGAAGCGCCCTTCCTCATGGTCCTCATTGTGGGGGTTGTCCAATTGACCACCCTTAGGGCCTAGCCTTTCATGAATGCTCCTCTGCGAGTGGACAGCTGAGCGCCTTTCTTCACGATCCTTGTTGCGATGGTTGTCTAGTTGACCTCCCTAGGGGGCCTAGCCTTTGATGTACATTTCCCTGCAGGCCCAAGTTGGCGCGGATGTCAAGTCGTGGGCCCAACCTTTTGTGCACGTTGTTCCTTAAACTCAATCTGCTCTAAGTGTGGCTTGCAGATGCTTGCGACATGTCAGCAGGCCGATCACGTTGTTATCCCTCGCCTTGTCTGCTCATTCCTGCTCGACTTGCTTGGTACTCGTCGAGTTGCCTATCGGCGCGTTCGTCCATCATTCTCTCTTCGCCCAATTGTCCAAGGCCAAGGTTTTGAGCCAGGCTTATTTGGTTGAGGAGCTACCTCATCAGATTGCTTTGGTCGTCCATTCTCTAAGCTAGCTGGTCAACTCTCAAATTAAGGTCTGCTTGACTTCGTGGATCGGGACGAGAGAAGTGCGTAGAGCCCAATTGCACATGGGCTAGGGTTTCATTAGAGGTGTACGCGGGAGCGTGCGTTGAGCGTGGAGGCAACGGAGGCCTTTCAAGGAAATGAGAATGAAGGAAATGATCATCTAAACAGTAATCATTTCCAGCAGTCACCTGTTGTTTCCCCAGTGGATCATGATTCGAATGTGACATACGACATATCAGGTGATCGAATCCTTCTCTGCCGCACTTCGAATGTGCCAATGAATGTCCTGCAACATGTCACTTACAACTCAGAGAACAGCATGAAGAATCTCCTTCTTTTTTGTGAGAATTGATAATGCCCTTGTATTTGATAGAGGTCGTGTGTTGAGCTGAACACGAATGATCGTCAAAAATTTCATCTTTTATATATGGTTTTGAATGTATAGTTGATGTCTTGTATGATTCTTAATTGTAAATAAAGGATGGGATTCATTGATTAGTACCAACAGATGGCAAGACCCTCGAGGTCGATGATAAGAGCAGTGATTTTTTCAATTTATATTTTAGTATTTTTCTGATGTGAAAATATAGTAGCTAATAGTAGTATAGAATGTATGTAATAATATTTCTTCAAGTTGTTGTACGAGGATCATTGGCAAATATATCAATCATATTGAAGAGATACATATATGGTGCTTGTTGTACCTTATTTATATGATAATAAATAATGATCTAACATTTTCCTTCATCATAGTCTTCATCATAGACATTATATCTCCACACATAGAGAGTGCCTTATGATCCCTGAAGAGCAATGAAGAACTATTTGTTATAAGATGTGTGCTTGATTTCATTATAAGTTCCTATCTTGATTTCATTATAAGATGTGTGCTTAATTTGGAAAATGGCCATTCTAAATTCCTTTGCTACATTTTTTGTAATATCACATGTGCTCGCAATTGTTCTTCAGCCTTGCCTCTGCCTATGTTTCTATCTTAACTTTCCCTAACCACCAAAGGTTTTCTTAGCTAAATTTCTTTAAGGTTCAAGAAAAGTTTCTTGGTGAAAAAATGTTGGTTGCACCAGCTTAACAACAGGCACAACCAGTAGACAAATGAAGTAATATGTTATATTTAAGAATGAGATGCTACTTCTCATCTAACACATGTTGTTTGAATTCTCATTTTGAATAGTTCATATATCAATGTCATATGACCTCTGATACCTTCAATAAATTTCAAAACATAGCTGCAAACTTCTCTTCGTTGTCTCGTTAGACTGTTTTGTATCCAATTTTCTTCAAGAAAGTAAATCGCTATACAAGCAATTTTATACTATGAAATTCAACATCCTTTGATCCACAAAATGTTGAGGGATTTTGTTGTCGTTGTTGTATTTATGAGTTCAACCTATATTATTTGTTATAAATAAAATTCATTTTTTATTCTTGCCCAATGGGCTAATAGCGGGAAATCATTCGACGAAACGACTTGCAAACTTTTCCTCTCTTCTACTTTTCCTCTCCTCCTCTACTATTTTCGGTAGAAAGGTTAAAGAGCGTGGTGTTGAAATTTCCAAGGCCATAGATGACGAAGATGGGTTGATAGGAGCATTGAATGCCTTTCATAGGCACTTTCCTCACAGTAAATCTGAGGATAAACCCGAGTCATTGCCTGCTAGAAGTGGCTTATTTTCCATCAGTAGGTGTTTTGGCTATTCCCATTTCAGTACACATCCCACGGCCTCTCCTCCACATTTGTAAGTTGGAGCAATTTCTCTCTGTAATGAGGCTGACTTGAGTACCCTATAACAGTAAGAAAAGAAAAGAATACCCACAGATTATCTTGTAATGACTGCAAAAAGATTCAGTCTCTAAGCCCCAAGTTGTTAGTGTGTCAACTAGCTGAAAATGCAGTTTTGTTTTAGTACACAAAATTGTATTTACAGGCTCCTTTTGCTCTACCATCCCCAACCAACAAACCACCAGTGATAGTGACATGTACATTTATCTTCAAGTTCTCAATCTTGTTGTTGCTATAACAATAATTGTAATAGACGAAGAATTTGCTAAACAGTTCTGTCTTAGTTTGCTAGACCATAGTTTGTCATAAAACTGTGCCACCAAAAAAAAAAAAACAAAAAAAAAAAACAACTAAGCAAAAAAAAGACTAAGGGCGTTTGACTAAAACAACCAAAGTCATTCGAAGGTTGGAAAAAACTAAAAGGAGACAAGTCATTTTTTCCTTGCGTAGAGCTCATCGATACGAGTTCATAGACACGTAGTGGGCCCAAATCGCAGTTTTAACGAAGAAGTTACGGTCAGCGGAAGCACAGTGGCACAATTGTAAATATTTCAAGGTCAGAATTTTAAAACCCAGGTCAGCTTCTTTTTCTCTCTCTTTCTCCTACCACGACTCTCTCTCTCTCTCTCTCTCCCGTCGCACAACAACATTTTCCGACGCTGAATCCGGCTTCGTCCGGCCACCGTTTTCGACGAAACGACTTGCAAACTTTTCCTCTCCTCCTCTACTTGACCCACCCAATTTAAAAAACCCGGGTCTCACCCAGGTGCAACCGCGAGATAAAATATATTTTTGGACTCTAATTTGGTCATTGGGATCGAATCCTATTTATTAGATTTGTTAAGTTCGGTTTTGAATTTGTCGGTAGCCTGAAGGGATGTGGTTATAATGTGTTTGTGATTGTGTCGGGGCTGAAACCTATTTTAGATTGATGAATGATTGTGGATTGAGTCCTTACAACTACTTATGACTATGCCTGGAGGGTAGACTGTGCATGCTTAAGTGTGGAAATTTTAAACTGTGTTTTTGACAGGTTGAAAAATTTGGTTAAGTCCGTTTTTCAAGGGAGACTCTGCCGAAATTTCGGTAGAAGTCTCGGCCCTCTTTTCCTTTGTTTTAGGGGAAGAGGACATTTGAAATCAGTAAGTGGGCCCGGTATCGGTTGGATGTCGAAAATACCACTGGATCCGTCACGGATTCCGAGGAATTCGGGGCGAGTCCTGTCATTTTATTTGTATTGTTATAGCTTGGTTTTTTCAAGCTTTATCTTTTAATTATTATTTTAAGTTTGAAATCCTAGTTGGGATGCATACGCCAGAGTTTCTTCGATACTGCGTGCTCGTTAGTGGAGGCGCACCAGATTGTCTTAATTTTGAGGTTTGGTAAAGTATTGGCTTTTCACTCGATAACTTACCGGTAAGTTGTAGTCTTTTCACTGCATCATTTACATGTCGATTAAATATCGGCTTTTTCACGCAATAACTTACCGGTAAGTTATAGGCTTTTCGCTCAATCATTTACCTGACGATTAAATATTGGCTTTTCACGCAATAACTTACCGGTAAGTTATAGGCTTTTCACTCCATCACTTACATGATGGTTAAATATTGGCTTTTCACGCTATAACTTACCGGTAAGTTATTGGCTTTTTGCTCTATCACTTACATATTGAGCGTAAAATTATCACACATGCATGCGCACTGATTTGATTGAAGTTGCCATTGTTTTTCGATCAATTTTAACATGCAAATACTAGTCATAACTCTAGGGGTTATTTTTTGTTATTTCAATCCCTAGTATGGACATGAATATATTAAATTAACAAAGACATAACTATTTTCGGTAGAAAGGTTAAAGAGCGTGCTGTTGAAATTGCCAAGGCCATAGATGACGAAGATGGGTTGATAGGAGCATTGAATGCCTTTCATAGGCACTTTCCTCACAGTAAATCTGAGGATAAACCCGAGTCATTGCCTGCTAGAAGTGGCTTATTTTCCATCAGTAGGTGTTTTGGCTATTCCCATTTCAGTACACATCCCACGGCCTCTCCTCCACATTTGTAAGTTGGAGCAATTTCTCTCTGTAATGAGGCTGACTTGAGTACCCTATAACAGTAAGAAAAGAAAAGAATACCCACAGATTATCTTGTAATGACTGCAAAAAGATTCAGTCTCTAAGCCCCAAGTTGTTAGTGTGTCAACTAGCTGAAAATGCAGTTTTGTTTTAGTACACAAAATTGTATTTACAGGCTCCTTTTGCTCTACCATCCCCAACCAACAAACCACCAGTGATAGTGACATGTACATTTATCTTCAAGTTCTCAATCTTGTTGTTGCTATAACAATAATTGTAATAGACGAAGAATTTGCTAAACAGTTCTGTCTTAGTTTGCTAGACCATAGTTTGTCATAAAACTGTGCCACAAAAAAAAAGCCGGGTCTCACCCAGGTGCAACCGCGAGATAAAATATATTTTTGGACTCTAATTTGGTCATTGGGATCGAATCCTATTTATTAGATTTGTTAAGTTCGGTTTTGAATTTGTCGGTAGCCTGAAGGGATGTGGTTATAATGTGTTTGTGATTGTGTCGGGGCTGAAACCTATTTTAGATTGATGAATGATTGTGGATTGAGTCCTTACAACTACTTATGACTATGCCTGGAGGGTAGACTGTGCATGCTTAAGTGTGGAAATTTTAAACTGTGTTTTTGACAGGTTGAAAAATTTGGTTAAGTCCGTTTTTCAAGGGAGACTCTGCCGAAATTTCGGTAGAAGTCTCGGCCCCCTTTTCCTTTGTTTTAGGGGAAGAGGACATTTGAAATCCGTAAGTGGGCCCGGTATCGGTTGGATGTCGAAAATACCACAGGATCCGTCACGGATTCCGAGGAATTCGGGGCGAGTCCTGTCATTTTATTTGTATTGTTATAGCTTGGTTTTTTCAAGCTTTATCTTTTAATTATTATTTTAAGTTTGAAATCCTAGTTGGGATGCATACGCCAGAGTTTCTTCGATACTGCGTGCTCGTTAGTGGAGGCGCACCAGATTGTCTTAATTTTGAGGTTTGGTAAAGTATTGGCTTTTCACTCGATAACTTACCGTTAAGTTGTAGTCTTTTCACTGCATCATTTACATGTCGATTAAATATCGGCTTTTCACGCAATAACTTACCGGTAAGTTATAGGCTTTTCGCTCAATCATTTACCTGACGATTAAATATTGGCTTTTCACGCAATAACTTACCGGTAAGTTATAGGCTTTTCACTCCATCACTTACATGATGGTTAAATATTGGCTTTTCACGCTATAACTTACCGGTAAGTTATTGGCTTTTTGCTCTATCACTTACATATTGAGCGTAAAATTATCACACATGCATGCGCACTGATTTGATTGAAGTTGCCATTGTTTTTCGATCAATTTTAACATGCAAATACTAGTCATAACTCTAGGGTTTATTTTTTGTTATTTCAATCCCTAGTATGGACATGAATATATTAAATTAACAAAGACATAACTATTTTCGGTAGAAAGGTTAAAGAGCGTGCTGTTGA